TCCACCAACCCATTTTAGTATTCATTGTTGAATACTGCATGAGTAAACTGTACCATGATAATTGCCAAATGGTGATTTATTTTCATTATTGTCTTTGCATGTATTTGTTGGCATTGTCTTATAAAGAAGAGCTCTCCATATATATTTCAGTGTGAATTCCCATTTCAATCAATGGGTTGTAATCCATTGTTATCTTTATTTTCATGTACAACTTTGTCCCAGATTTGACCAGTGGTATTCCTTTAAGCTGGCTTCCATGTCCTTTTGATATGTCTCCATTTTTTTTTTTTCAGTACTGGGGATCGAACTCAGGACCTTGCACTTGCAAGGCAGGCATGGTGCCACTGAACTAAATCCCCACCCCTGTCTCTATTATTTTTGAGCATGTTTTAACTCTTCTCTCTCTTTTTTTTTGTGGTGTAGGAGTTGAACCTAGGAGCTTGCTTGCTCATGCTACATCCCCAGCCCTTTATATTTTTAAATTATGAGACAGAGTCTCACTAAATTGCCAGGGCTGGACTTGAACTTGTGGTTCTCCTGCCTCCATGTCCTGAGTAGCTGAGGTTATAGGTGTGCATCACTACATTGGGCTACTTTTAAACTTTCCTTCTTTCTTTCTTTTTTTCTTTTCTTCCTTCCTTCCTTCCTTCCTTTCTTTTCTTTTCTTTTTTCTTTTTTTGTACCACGGATCAAACTCAGGACCTTCTGCTTGCCAGGCAGGTGTGGTGCCACTGAGCTACATCCCTGGCCCTCTTTTTTAGTTTCTAATGCCATAAAATGTTTGGGGCTCACCTTGTACTCTCCCCAGGGCAGGCAACAGGAAATGTGGCTGAGGTTATACCAAGGCCACACTAAAGTCATGCCACAGAAACTTGCCAGTGAGCATGTTCTGCCAGCACCATGCACTCCTCAGGAGCTGCAGGTGCAGTGAGTGTAGCATGAATTCTCCCTGGGTCTTGTCTGCACTCCAGGATTCAGAGTCCACTTGGAAGCATTCCAGTCATTTGGCTTAGGCAAAATGCCTACCCCTGGGCTGTGTGAAGTGGGAGGAAAGAGAAATGTTCTCTAGCTGCCATGAAGGGGTTGAAACTCATCCTTCCAATACTGTCCTATGAGAGCCTGTGCAGAAATAGGAAGATGATTTGGATCCTGTGCAGCTGATTTCATAGTCAGAGAGATATAGGTACAGAGATAAACAAAGGGAAAAAGTTGGTAAGATTTGGTCACCAAACCAATAGCATTCTGGTAAAAGTTTAACAAAAGCTCCCCAGGGGGGGAAAAAGACACTTATTTCTGTTGTGTAAATGCCCTCATCATGTTCTATTGCAAACATGACATCCCTGAACTCAGAGTTGAAAAGAAATGTGCAGCAGCACACCAATATGTAGCAGCAGTAATAGTAAAATACAGTAAAATAATCAGGAAGTGATGAGTTTATCATCATTTATCACCTTTGCTTTTTTTTTCAAGACAGGGTCTTGCTATGTAGTTCAGGTTGGTCTTGAACTCACTATGTAGCCTTGGCTGGCCTCACAGTGATCCTCTTGCCTCAGGTTCCCCAGTGCTGGGATTACAGGTGTGCACCATCATGCCAGTGTATGTAAGTATGTATTTATTTATTTATTGTACTGGGGATCAAACTCAGGACCTTGTGCTTGTGAGGCAGGTGTGGTGCCACTGAGCCAAATCCCCAGCCCTTATTATTATTATTATTACGAGTTCTCACTAAGTTGCCCAGGCTGGGCTCAAACTCATGATCCTCCTGCCTCAGCCTCCCAGAGTGTTGAGTGTACAGGCACGCTCCATCCTGCTCCACTGAGCTCAACTTCCTTACCAAACACCTGTTCTTTTACCACCTACCTGGGCCTCAGACCAGGGGTTTTCAAACCCTCTCACAGAGCCCATCTTCTGTGGCAGAGGTGCAGGGCTAGAGGCTGAAGGCCTGTGGGGAGGACATGCATGAGGCTCCAGCACCTGCTTCCATCACAGTACTTGGATTCAAATAAGCTTCACATATTTCAGGTAAGAGTTCATTTGGAAAAAAGGGCTCCATTGCTTAAAAACAAACATTTCAAATGAACTGTTTTAGTCTAATAGGATGGCTCATTTTAGTCAAGTATTCTCAAATCCATTTGCTTCTTTACTTACTTCTACTGATGTTTATTGAGCACTTGCCTTGTACCTGGCACTGAGGGTAAAACAGTGGATAAGATAGATTGTCCCTTCCTGGAAAACTGATAGTTTAGAGGAATGACAACTGATACTTGAAATTAAGAAACAATGTTTTTCTTTTTCTTCTTACTCATCCTTTTTCTTTTCTTTTCTTTTCTTTTTTTTGGTACTGGGGATTGAACTTGGGACCTTGCGCTTGCGAGGCAGGCGCCGGAACCACTGAGCTAAATCCCCGGCCCATCCTTTTTCTTTTTTCCATCCTTTGAGATATATCTCAAATGCCATGAATTTTTCAAATTTTGTTTTTGTGTTTTTGAGACAGTCTCACTATGTAGTTCAGGTTGGCTTTGAACTCACTGTGTAGCCTAGGCTAGCCTCAAACTGGTGATCATCCTCCTCCCTCAGTTTCCTGAGTTCTCAGATTACAGGCATCTACCGCCAGGACCAGCAAATGATATGGATTTTATAAAACCTTTCGATTTGCCTTTCCTTCTGACTAGAACTCCCTTCACATAAATTTTTGTGTGTGGAGTATGTGTTAGTTCTGTTCATCCTCCATTCCTTCACCTTGGAACATTCTTTGGAGAACAACCTTGTCTTAGTTATTTTTTGTTGCTGAGTCACAATACCCGACACCCATAACTCTAAGGAAGAATGGTTTATTCTGGCCCACCGTTTGTAGAGGTTTCAGCCCATAGTTGGCTGGCTCCAAGGTAGGGTGGCATGGCAGAGAAGAAAGAGCTCCTGGCATGGCAGCAGAAAGCAGAGAAAGATTAAGAGAGGAGGGAGAAAGGGAGACACTTCGAGGCCACTGCCCCCATGACCCACCTCCTCCAACCAGACTTCACCTCCCAACATCACATTTAGCTATAAATTCATCAGTGGGTTAATCCACTGGTTAGAATCAAACCCACCTAGTCCAATCTCCTCCCCAAAGCCCTACCTATGATCTCATGAGGTCTGGGGAGACATCTAAATATAAACTATAACAAACCTCTCCCTGCCCTTCTCTCTCTCCCAGCTCACTGAGTTCCAGTTGGTCTCCAGGAGTGTACAAGTGACTCAGGGTGGCCAACTGGCAAACAGAACCCCCTCAGCCACAGTGATTGGTTCAGGTTTGGCTAATCCTTTGGCAACAATGATTGGGTTGGGATGGACAAATGATCCCAAGTGGCTCACAGTGAGTCCCAGACATATTCCAGAGCCTCAAGAAACAGATGTTCTCTTTTCAGCTGAATTGAAGCCTAAGAAGATATAGACATAGAATTTGTGACAGCACTTTTGCTATGCTGTGGAGAGAAAGGCCAATGTGGAGGAAAGAACATCCAAGTGATAGAAAGAGACTGGATGCTTGTGAAACTCAATGCTGGATCAAGCTACAATAAAACCTGACCCTTGAAACCCTGACATTTCAGTTCATAAGCCAGTAAATTTCCTCTTTTGCTGAAATAATTTTGTCTGCTTTTTCAAAAGAATATTGAGTAGTTCACTAGCACAGCAATTCTGACGTGTAGACTCCTTAAGAGCTGTAGGCTACTATGTCTCCAGTTCCACCCCATCTGCTATATAGGAGCCCTGCCATCTCTGAAGTTCCCCCCAAGTTCTGAATCCTCCAGGAAACCCCTCATGAGTGCTCCTCAAGCTAATATCCCAGATGTCCTTTGGCTCCACTAAGCTCTTTGGGGGAGAGGAGGAAACCCTGTTTCAGTGGAAGCAGGGAATGGTAATCTTCTTTCAGTCACCCAGCAAGACAGCTGAACGATGGTCACAATTGAGGTTGGGAAAGCCCTTGCCCTCTTGAGTCACTTAAGGTCTGGGTCTAAGGAGCTGTGACTCCTGTGTCCCATCCAGGGACACAAAGCTGCCATCAGTCTCCACAACTCCATGTATGGTGAATTTGCCTTGGGCCAGGTATTATACCAGACATTTTACACTCATTCTCAGATATAATCCTCAGAGCAATTTGAGGAGTAGGGATAATTGCATCACTCAATGAACAGATGAAAAACTGAAGCTCAGAAAGTTCAGTCACTGAGGGGCCAGGGATTTAGCTCAATGGTTCCGCTGCCTGCCTCAAAAGCCCAAGGTCCCAGGTTCAATCCCCTGATACCAAAAGAAAGAAAGAAAAAAGTTCAGTCACTGAGCAGGGTAGAGTGGCCCACCTGTAATCCCAGCTACTTGGGGCCAGCCGGCACAACATAATACGACTTCCATTTCACCACACACACAATTCAATGACTCAGCCAAGACTGCAGTTAGTCAGTGAAGGATCTGGGGCTTCAAGATGTGCATTAGGATTCCTTTATGAATTGTAGCCCCTACAGACGGGCAGAGAGAAGCCTAAGTGGGGAGAGATGAAGAAGGGACATTTGGAACTGTAGGAAGTTGAAGTGGTCGCTTTGGAGGCTGCCTGGGTAGGATTGGGGCTGTCTAGCCCGGCTAGAGAGGGAGTGTGTAATGCACGATCCACGCGACCAAGGGATTTTCCAACCTGAGGACTCAGGCTTGACAGGTGGGGGCTGTTGGAGGGGCGTGGCTCTCTGTGCCCGCCCACGTCCAGGTGAGGCGCCTGCCACCCAGCCGGAAGGGAGGATGCGCCCACGCAGGGCTCTGGAGGTGTAGGGTGCCCTCGGCTCTGGGGCTGTCCGGCCGGGGTTTCTTGGCGCCCGGGTCCTTCCTGGACGGGCGGGCCAGGTCTTTGGCAGGGGTGGGAGTGGAGGGTGCCGCGCCCTGCCCGGCCCAGGTGTCCTCTCCGGGGGCGGAGTTTAGGAACCAGGCAGCTGGAGATTCCGGCTGCACTGGAGGGCGGGCGGACGTCTCGGGATAGAAGTGGACAAGAGACCTAGGCCGGGAGCTCAGGGAGAGCACAGGGCAACCAGAGGCGCGGGGCCCCCAACATGTTCTCCCGAAACCACCGGAGCCGGGTTACCGTGGCCAGGGGCTCAGCCCTGGAGATGGAGTTCAAGCGCGGCCGCTTCCGACTTAGCCTCTTCAGCGACCCGCCCGAGGTAAGCGACCGCGTCCCCGTCCCCCCCTCCCTGGCCCCTCAGTCAGCCTGGCCGCCTCAGCCTCCTGCACGCACGCGTCCGCGCACGCTGAGGGGCGCAGCCGCCGCGAGTGCAAACTGACGCGAGTTGTTGATTTGAAAAGTAAGGTGTGGACCCTCCGCGCACGAGCCCCACACCTTCCCCGGCCTGGGTGGTATGATTTGTCCTCGCCTGGAAAAACTCCTGCTTGGCCTCGATTTGAGGGGGTCCAGGTTCGATTCTTAAAATGTGCCTGGACACAGCCCCTGCCGGGCATCTCCTGGCCAGGGTGTGGTGGAGAACAGCCAGGCGGGCTCCAAACGCTCCGGCGCCCGCAGGTTCCCGGCTGCCAGCCCCGTCCCACGCTCTTTCCCAATTTTCTGGGCCAACCTCTGCCACGCCTCTGGACTTCTATCTGCCGCTGCGCTGAAGCCTCGCCGGTAGCTTCTCTTTGCCTCGATGGGCAGCAAGTGTGTGTGTGTGAGGGGGAGGTATTTAACCCTTTGGAGTTATTCCCCACTCCCAAACTTTCCGCCTCTTTCCTGGAGTTTAAGGGGAATCTAGCCTCTAAGCTGGCAGTTTCCTCCCGTCCACCAGTCTACACCTCTCATGCCCGGCTGAGGCACCTGAGCCCTGCCTGCAACCCCTAGAAGAGGCCGAGGAGGGACTGGAGGGGTGCGGCTGAGCCAGGACAGAGGGTGCACAGCCACCTCAGTGACATTCCTGTCCCCAAGGTCAGCTACACACTGACAAGGAGAGTCCAATTCCAAGCTGTCCTCTCCCGGCCTGGAAAGGGTTAAGTGAGGTGGGCCTTCCTCCAGCCCCTCACCCTCCCTGCTGGGATTCCAAGCCTGGCTTCTGCCCTTTCCCTCCAGGCTGCCCAGAACAAAGGCCCTTTCACACCCGTGTCCTGGTGTCCCAGGCCTTCTCTGAGTCAGAAGCTGGTGGACTAGGGGAGATTTTCTCTCCCCACCCCCAGGAGCTCAGCCTGAAAACCACGCGTGGGACAGTCGTGGAGAGTTAGGGGCGAGGCCCGGGAACAGGAGGAGGGGCCTGTGAACCCAGCCGCCCCTGGAATCTGCCAGGCCTTCGGGAGCCCGGAGCCGGGGCGGAGCCGCAGGGCCCAGCAGGCTGCCGCCGAGGAGAGTGTGACTCCGTGGGCCTGGGGTGGAGGGGGGGGGGCACGCTGTAGCTGGTTGGGACTCGAAGCTGGTTTCCTGTCTGGAAGGGAAGGGGCCCGAAGAGGGGAGCGGGGGCAGCAGCAGACAGGCACACCCCTGCCTCGCTCCCTCCCTCTCCTCCCTTCTGCTGGAAAAGCGAGGTAATTGTGAGCCCAGGGTGGGGCTAGCTGGCTGGTGGCCCGAACTGGAAGAAGGGATGGCCCTGGGGCCTGGACTCACCCCTTTGTCCCACTCCCTGTGCTCATCTCCCTTCAAGTCCCCACTTCAGTTGCTCTTCTTGCTAACTTTCTCAAACTAAGCCAGACCTCTTCTCCCAGAGCTCCAACCTCCGGACAAACCCCCGGACTCCGTGAAACCCGCAAGAGGCGTGCCCTCCCTGCCCCTTTCCAGCTGTGCCTGCCCCTCACTGCCCTCTCCTCACACAGATTCTCTGTCCACCAGGCCAGGGATGTGGGAGGGAGCTGGGGAGGGGCCAGAATGGGAATGAAAGAGCCTTTTTCTTCCACAGCTGGGAGAACAGCTGCCACCAAAGCAAGACTAGACACTCTGTGCCCATAGTCCCCTCTGCAGCTGGCCTCCCCTCCCAGACCCCTGCTCATCCCCACTTCACTTTCCTTTTCTTCCCTCCTGGCTCCCGCCAGGGCTTTGAAACAGTGGTAGGTGAGGAGATTTTTATCACAACAGCAAGAGTGTCTAATAGGAACACAGCGGGAAAGGGGCAGCCTCTCCCTTCTGTCCAAGAGCTGGCCACCTCTCTGAGACAGGGAGCAGTGGGAGGAGTAACTGTAGGACGTCGTGGTGCCACCTGCCCCCCAGGGGTTGCCAAGGGAAAGGGCTCTGGGGGGCACAGAGATGCAGGACAGATTGCACATCCTGGAGGACCTGAATATGCTCTACATTCGGCAGATGGCACTCAGCCTGGAGGTAATGCCTATACCCTGGATCACACATTTCCTCTGCTTGCACCCCAGCCTGCATCTGCCTTCCCTGTCCCTGCTGGGGCTGGGGGGAGGGTGGTGTTTGCTCAAAGTGGGGAGAGGGACAGGTGATTCTTTATGCCCTATGTTGGAGGCAGTGTATGGACTTAGGCCCAGTTCTGCTAATCAGAATATTAGGTTGACAGCATTGTTTTCACACCTATTTTTGGAAGCTCTATGGGTGGGTGTGGATATCTTCCGGGGATAAGGGATGCTTTTCGGTAAGTGATGAAGACAGGCATTCGATGTGAGAGAGGTTTTCAGGAAGGATGAGAAGACAAAGGAGACGCTGGGCAATTAGTAAAGATCCTGTTGGCCTCAGAGATGGTGAGGCACTATTTATTCATAAATTTATTCTTTTTTAGTTTTTTATTTTTTGAGACAGGGTCTTGCTGTGTAGTTCAGGCTGGCTTTGTACTCACTATGTAGCCCAGCATAAACTTTCAGTGATCTTCCTGCCTCAGCCTCTGGAGTACTGGGATTATAGGTGAGCACCACTATGCCTGGCCTCTTTTTTATTTTTTGAGACAGGGTCTCACTAAGTTATCCAGGCTGTCCTTGAACTTGTGAACTTCCTCTCTCAGCCTCCCAAGTAGCTAGGATTACAGGTGTGTACCAACATGCCTAGCATTTATTTATTCTTAAACACATTTATTGAACACGTTATGTGCCAAGTTCCTATCTAGAACATGGGATACCTAAGTGAACAAGACAGGAAAGGTCCATTCTAGAGGGAGAACAGACAATAAATATACAAACCATAAATAATATCACAGTGAAAATGTGATGAAAATGGGGAATGTAAACAAAATTAGGTGGGGGAGGGGGCATAGGTGTGAAAGTCTGTGAGCATTTGCAGATATGAAGGTGGAAAGAAGGTTTTCCAGATAGAGGGCATAGCAAGGGCAAAGGTACTTTGATGAGGGTGACATGTTTGTGGGAAAGAGAGACAGTGTGGCTAGAATACAGTAGTTGAAGTTGAGCTGATGGGCGTGGAAGATCATGCAAGGCCTTGAAGGTACTTGATGGTAAGGTACTTAAATTACTTAAGATTGCACTCTGTGTGATAGTGGTCCATAAAGGGTTTTAAGCAGAAGAACAATGCATCTAAAGTTTTTAAATGATAGCTGGTGTAAGAATAAACTGAGGGTTTGGGGGGCATTGGCAAGAAAACTAGCAAAAGATCACCTGGCGAGTGGTCACGTTGCAGTCGTGGAGTGAACCTGGTGGTGTAGATGAGTGCTTGTGGTGGAGAAAGGGAGAAGGGGTGCATTTTGAATGATGGTGGCAAATCTCATGGGGCTTGCTGATGGACTGGACCTGAGGGTGAGGGAGACAGGGAACACTAGAATGATTCTCAGGTGTGTGGATGAGCAGCTGGATGGCTTAACCCTTTATTGAGATGGGAAAGATGGAGGAAGCTGTGGCAGTGACTGTCTGGACCAGAAAAGGGGCTGCTGCTAAGGGAGGTCAGAAGCAGGAGTGTGAAGCATAGCAATTTATTGGACATTTGCTGCTTGCCTAGTCCTGCCCTACTCCCTAGATCAGAGTGAACATTTCTAATCAACCATAGCACTCTTCACCAATGAGCCAACGTCAGCACAGACTTGGTATAAATTGTGTAGGTTATATCCTTTATATGGTGCCACCCAGAAGCAGGAGTCTTGATCTGGGTTCAGCTGCATCAGGAGGAAACACTTTAATTTGTTTGCTTGGAGAGAGTCAGCATTTTCTGTTTTGCAGAAAGGTGCCAAATGAAGCTGCAGGGATTCTGACATTACTTAATTGTCCTATGTCAGCACATGAGATAAAACCTATTTGTTATTCACAGTCCGCTGTGCTTTATTACTAGTTACATATGACCATTTCAATTTAATGTTAATTAAAATAAAACATTTCATTTCTCAATTTCTGTAGCCACATTTTAAGTGCTATATGGCTATGGAGCATTTCCATCTGCAGAAGGTTTTATTGGACAGAGGTGGTCTAGGTATATAAATGTTTGAATTCTACATCTTGTGCTCTGCTCCCTGCTCAATAATGTAATTTCTCTCCATGGGAGGCCTGACTAAGATTTGGGGAACATAGAAGGGCCTTAGTTTTCCCTTTGGTTAACTCTCCTTCAGCCATAGGCTGAGGGTGTTGTGATTCTTTCTCCACCAAGTGCAGAGGATCCTCAAAAGAGAGCCCCATTGATGTTTCTGGGATTGAGGAAAAAGGTAGTTCTGGAAGAGTAAGTCTGAGACTTTCTCAGGGAGGAAATTTAAGCTGCAAGTAAAGGGGGAGGAAGAGTGAGAGAAAGCTTATTTTAAAATATGTGCTAGGCCCAGGTAGGTTAAACTTTCCCATTTGATCCTCAAATAATGCTATGGAAGGAAATGAAATACCCCCAAGTCGATTGAGTAAGACTCCAGAGGTTGAATATGCACAGCTTGTCAAGTCCCTAACCTAGAATTTGAATTTAGCCCTGGTGGAGATTTTGAAGGGAACAGAAGGTGATAGACAGAGCTGGAAGTCAGGGACAGAAAAAAGTGGGAGGAGTGGGAAAGGACCTCCACAGAAGGCCTAATGTGTGCTGGGGCTTCTGGATCCTTTTCAGTCCCTAGGGATCTGACCCAGGTTCCACTGACACTCAACTCTGGGCTCTTTCCCAGGAGCCTGGGGGAATTGCTGTGTATTCAGAGAGAACCAGTGTGTGAAGAGTAGGGAGGGAGCAACAAAGGAGCTATCCCTGGTGTGGGGATTGGGGTGAAGTACATGGATCCAGAGCCTGACCCAGGCCCCCAGATGCTCTACTCAAAAGAGTAGGAGCTGGTTTTCTGGGGCACTCTTGGGAGAGTAGAACTGGGGCAGGAGGGCAGTGGGCAAACAGGAGAGATTCCCGGCCCCCAGTTTTGTTTGTTCATGCTGGACTCAGCGACCTTTCCAGGGGCCCAGTTTTCCTACTTTATACACCACCATCCCCCAGCCCCCTGGGGAAGGGGTCACCTTGGAGGGTAATCAATGCGGGAGGGGCCTTCGGGCCTCTGAAGGACCAGGAGCCCATTCCAGGGCAATGCAGGTGCTACCTGCGGTCCTGTGCCTCAGGGTCTGCGTGGTTGAGATGCTCAGAGCCCGGATCCTAGCACTGCCAAACTCCGGGAGGAACTGCCCCGTGCCCTGGAGCCCCTGGGCCGCTCTCGCGGCAGTTGAGATCTGATGTCACAGCGGCGCCCTGAGCGCTGCTGGCAGAGGCAGTACGGCAGCTGCAGAATGATTTCCTGCGGCCCTCCCTTGCCCCCGCCACCGGCTCCAGGCTAGTGCTGCTCCCTGGACCCCTCGTGCCAGGGCAGGCGCCCGCACAGGCAATGGACAGGGCTAGGGAAGAATCTGTGAGTGCTGGGGACTGGGACAATGGAAGCTAGCCTGGAGGGGCTTGAGGATGCCTGTGGGTCACCTCTCTTTTTAGGGTTTTTGTGGTAGAAGCTGGATGCAGAGTGGGGTAGAGGTTGGCAAGCAGAGAAACTTAACTGAGGTAGGTCCTTAATGGAGACAAAGCTGGGCTGGGAGGATCTATGTAGTCTGGGAGCTCTTCCTGGCAGAGGGGACTTTGAGTCTGTGTTGGCCTGTCTTGGATGGGAAACCGGTGCTTGGTGCTGGAGGGAAGGGTGATGAAAGTCTGGTCTAACACAGTGCTTCAGAAAAATAGATAAGGAAAGGTGAATTTGCAGGCAGGTTGGACAAGGATTTTTTTTTTTTGAGACAGTATTGCGATATAGCTCGGGCTGTCCTTGAATTCATATATTCCTCTTGCCTCAACCTCCCAAATTTTGGGATTACAGGTATGTGCTATGGTGCCTAGCTGGACAAGGGATCAGGGATGCATGAGGGAATTCAGGGTGTTCAAGCCTTGTATATTTGAAGGCTGTAGCCACCAGGGACAGAAGCAAAGGCACAAGATGCTGGAGGATAACTGGGGTGAAAGAGAAGATAGGTTTGGGGAGGTCACATACATTCCCCTCTTCCAACTGGATGCCTCCACTTGCCTGGTTTCCCCAACCCATGTGTACTATGGGTTAGTCTCCCACCTCCTCTCTGAAGTCTCATGTGACTGCCTCAGCCAGGAGCAAATGGGATCTGTTTACTGTGAGTGTGTTTATGCCATGACACGGCACTTATGGAGCAGCCATTAATGTCTGCGTCTCTCATCTGGGATTTCAAATAGAGCCATGGACAGCACAAATGCTCCTGTACTCATTGGAGGAACACTGGTGCTGCCAAAGTGGCATCACTATTAAAACTCCCACCCCTACCATTCACACATACAGTACTATGTGCTAGCATTGTGCAGAGTCCTTATCTCACAGTCCTAGGATATGGGGATGATTTTTATTCCCATTTCTTAGGTGGGAAACTGAGGTTTAGGAGATTGAGTAAATTACCCAGTGCTCAGTGCTTTTAAAGCACCAGAACCACTTTTTTTTTTTTTTGGTACCGGGGATAAAACTCAGGTCCTTGAGCTTGAGCAGCAGGCGGTGGAACCACTGAGCTAAATCCCCGGCCCACCAGAACCACTTTTTAAAAGAAATGTTCCTGGCGGCCCTGATGCCTCTTCTAGTGCCTCCCCTCTGGCCCTTTTGTACAGCCTGTCCAGGCCCCAACTCCTGGACCATTTGCATTCATTCCCATTCCTTGCCTCTGACCTCATGCCCAAGCTCAGAAGGCCAAATGGTGGTGGGTCCCCTAATTTGGGGTGAGTGTGGGGTTTTGCACAGCAAGGGTAAACTTTCAATGAAGGAGCCTCAGTTCACCGATCCTGTAAATCTATTTTCTATTTGTAGCTTCCAATTGGAAGACCCAGACCACTAATATTTTATGCATAAATATGCATATATATGTATAGGCAAATATATACACATTATGTATATGTATATATTGTGCACAAATGGTAACACACATAATATTGTTCTGCTTTCTTTTCTCATATTATATTTTCTGGAAATTGCCTCATATCTCTTCATATGTGTCTAGCTCACTCTTTAGTGTCTATACAACATTACGTGGTATAGGTGTGCTATAACTTATTTAACCAATGCCCTATTGAAGGACTTTTCATTTTGAATTTCAGGAATCTTGACTATTATATGCCTTGGGGAAGATTTTTTTTTATAATGGCTAGTTGGAGTTCTATATCCCTCACTTATCTATATGTCAAATTCTTTTTCCCTGTTTGGGAAGTTTTCTGCCATTAATTCTGAGAACAGGTTTTTTAATGTTATTTGTGCTATCTCCTGCTTTTTCAGTGACTCTGATCAATCTTATGTTATTCTAGGACTTTACATTTTAATTTTGATATTTAAAACAATGTTGCATGAGTATTTTTGTACAAATGTTATATAGTTATATATGTAACTATATCTGTGAGATAAGCTTCTGGAAATTGGTTAGATGAAAAGATATGTGAACTTGTAGTTTTCCAAGATTTTTCCAAATTGTGTTCAAGAGGTAGAATGAATTTATATTCCCAACCATCAAGTGCATGGGGACATCTGTATTTTTAAAAGCTTTTCGGCCGGGTGTGGTGGCGCACGCCTGTGATCCCAGCATTTGGGAGGCTGAGGCAGGAGTTTGAGGCCAGGAGTTTGAGGCCAGCCTGAGCTACATAGTGAGTTCAAGGCCAGCCTGAACTACATAGTGAGACCCTGTCTCAAAAAACCAAAAAAATTAAATAAATAAAATTAAATTTAAAAATAAAAGCTTTTCTGATTATTCTTGAGCAACTGAGGTTGAGGCCCAATGTTTGCTCTTTCCCTTTACTTTTTTTTGGGGGGTACTGGGGATTGAACTTGGGTCCTTGCACTTGCAGAGCAGGTGGCAGAACCACTGAGCCAAATCCCCAGTCGTACAGGTTTTTTTTTTTTTTTTTTTTTGTTACCGGGGATCAAACTTGGGACCTTGCACTTGCAAGGCAGGAGCCGGAACCACTGAGCTAAATCCCCAGCCCTGAGTGTTTGCTCTTGAGTTGCCTGTAACATTAGTTTATCAGTTTTTCCTGGTGTACAGCTCACTTGGGGACTCAGGGTAGGGGGTGGGGTTGTGCTTCAACCTGTTCCCCAATTGACATTTCCTTTTCACCCTTCCCCTGACCCTGGCTAGGACACGGAGTTGCAGAGGAAACTAGACCATGAGATCCGGATGAGGGAAGGGGCCTGCAAACTGCTGGCAGCCTGCTCTCAACGAGAACAGGCTCTGGAGGTCACCAAGAGCCTGCTGGTATGCAACAGCCGAATCCTCAGCTACATGGGCGAGCTACAGCGGCGCAAGGAGGCCCAGGTGGTGGAGAAGACAGGACGGCGGTGAGCAAGGAGGAGGCCAGGCCTTGTGGGAGCAGGAGGCTTTAAGAGTGGTGGTAGTACAGCACATGCACCTGTGGAATGTGGACCACTCTGCAGAAAACCTCGTGAAGGCTTGTTAGGGGCTTGATGTTCAACCACTGCAGTGTGCTGCCCAGAGTAGCTAGGGTTGCACTCAGTAAGTCAGTGTGCCTGGTGGAAGCTGGCAATCTGAGGAAGTAGTACAGTACAACTAATTGCCAAAACCTGCCTGTGATCGGAAAAATCTGGGTGGTTTCTAGAAAATGAATTATCTCAAAGTGAGTTCACCAAATAGCCAATTTCCCCAAAATTGCCAATAGTTTGTCGTACTGGGGATTCACCATTAGAGGCAGGAATTGGGAAAACAAATAATTGAAAACCACTTAAAGGAAAGCCTACCCATTCTTGTAAGTTAGATTGTATTCTAAAAGGGTTTAGCTTCTAGGTGTGAAACACAATGACACTAGACTGCTGATCTGCCAGATCTACTGTGAAGTGGCTCAGGTGATACGCTGTGGTCAAGCTAAAATGCTAGAGGCAATATTTGGGAAATTGATCGTTCTGAGAATTGGCCATTTTTGGTGAACTAGTCATTTGGAGAATTGGCTTCTAGCAAAGGGGCCTGCTTGCCTTACCAAGGCTGAGTGGGGAGATGGTCCTAGCATTCCAGCCATGAAGGTGACACAAGGGAAAGTTGCCAGCACACTCAAGAAGCCAACAAAAAGTGAAAACTCACCCTGCCGCTGCCCCATGTGGCTAGAGGGAGGGCAAGCAGGTGAGGGAACAGTTTCTTCTGTGAGTGTGGTCATCAACAGATTGCCCTGCCTAAGTCACCACACAGCCCACACAGTGTGACCTGAGGTACACTGGAGTCCCTGGTAGATAAACACATTGCCATTAGTTCCATATCATTTAGCTGAAGATCTTACTGAGTCAGAAATTACTTTAGTGCCATTAGAAGTAAGTACAGAAAAACTGGCTGTCACTTTAGCAAAGAAACACTTGCTCAGTTAGTCCCAGAGGGGATAGGTGGGGAGGATGCTGTGTGGGGGGAGGCCCTGGAGTGGGGAATGTAGGGCACTGGGAGGGTGGTGCAGCATATCTGGCTAGGAGGCCAAAGCAAAAACAAAGCTGGGGGAGGGGTAGTGAAGGCATCTATGGTGAATGGAACAAATGTTCCCTATTTGTGTTTCTTCCTTTCATCAAACACTGGTCAAATTATCCTCTGACTGACCTAGCACCCTCTTTGATCAAAGAAGTGACAAAATGGTAGAAAAGAGTGGCCTCCCTGTTACTGCAAAGAAAACCTGCAGACATCATCAAGTCTGGAGTCTAGTGGAGAAGAGCCCTCGAAAGGGAAGAGAGTCTATCTGTGGGCACTCAAGGCCCCATTTGTCCCTGGCAGGGTCTTTATAGATGGTCAAGGAGGGTGCGTGAAGCAGCAGAAGCCATGAGCTTGTGGGGTTCATGATCTTGAGTGTCCCTAAGCCCAGCACACTCCTGGGTTCAGTCAACAACTCTTTCACAGTCCCTTAACCCCAACATGTCAGCCTGGTTAAGGACCTGGGGGCTGGGCCCCTGGGATCTGGAGGCTCCTAGAGTCCTTGAGAAACTAGAGCAAGGGGGAGAAGCATCTAGAAGGCAGGCCAGGACCTTGTGATCTACCCACAGGCCTTCTGACAGCGGGCCGCCCCCTGAGCGCTCCCCATGCCGCGGCCGGGTCTGCATCTCCGGTAAGAAGCACAGCTACCCCAACTGCTGGCACCCCTCTCCCAGCCACACCTTCTCCTGCCCCGTCTCAACATCTGTTCCTACCCCACTGCTCCTTAGACCTCCGGATCCCACTCATGTGGAAAGACACAGAATATTTCAAGAACAAAGGTGGTAAGTTCCCCACCGTAGGACAAATTCAGGGCCATATTGCTGAGGTTGGAAGCTGCTGTGGGACACTTTTTTTTTTTAACCAGTTTTGTCCTTTGTCCCTAGACCTGCACCGCTGGGCTGTATTTCTACTGCTACAGCTAGGGGAACAGATTGAGGACACAGAGATGATTCTGGTGGACAGGACCCTCACAGACATCTCCTTTCAGAACAGTGTGCTCTTGTGGGTACCTCACCCCAGTGGCTCCCTTCTTTCTCCTGTCTGCTGTAATTTCCAAGGCAGTTCTGTGAGAGGAGAGGGCAGAAGAGGAGGAGGGAGAAGAGGCAAGGGGCGCTGGGCACCCAGATTTCCCCATGGAGCTGTCCTGTAATTGTACCCCCCTCCTGTTGTGGTGACCACCTTCATTTTCCTCCCACACCCCTGTAGCACTGAGGCGGGGCCAGACTTTGAACTGCGGCTGGAGCTGTATGGGGCCTGTGTAGAAGAAGAGGGGGCCCTAGCTGGCGCCCCCAAGAGGCTTGCCACCAAACTCAGCAGCTCCCTAGGCCGCTCCTCAGGGAAGCGTGTCCGTGCATCGATGGACAGTGCTGGGGGCTCAGGGAGCAGTCCCATCCTGCTCCCCACTCCTGCTGTGGGGTAAGACCCTGCACTCCACCCTGCCCTCAGCTGCCATATCCTGCACACAGTGACCTTTAAACCGCACTAAGCATGGAGAACTGACTTTGCACCAATGCCAGGAAGTGAAGATGGAAAGACATGAATGTGCTGGGAGGCATTCCAGGCCACGCCCCAGAGCTGGGCCTGCGCCAGTCCACAAGATCATAGAAAGACAGGGAGAGTTAGACACTGGGGTCCTAACTTCTTAGCAGTTGCAAATACATCCTATAGGTGTGGCCAGAACAGAGCTCCCTAGTTGGAACAAGGTATCTTGGCCCTGGAGATACTTCATAGACTCACTGGGACTTGGAGGAACGACAAATTATGGGCAAGGTTCTTAATCTCTCTAGGTCTCAAGGTGCCTCATCTATTAACTGAAGAATACCATCAACCTCACAGGGTTTGGGAAATACAGTGGGGTAACATGTATAAAATGTAGGTCAGTAAACTGTTCATTCCTAACCCCTGGAAAGGAGGCAACCCGTTAAGAGAGGGCCGCCTAACAATGGGGCTGACCTGCTCAGCCTTACAGGCCCCTCTAACGCACCCCTCCCTCACCTGATGCCCCCCCCTTCTCTAGGGGTCCTCGTTACCACCTCTTGGCTCAAACCACACTTACCCTGGCAGCAGTGCAAGATGGGTTCCGCACACATGACCTCACCCTCACCAGCCATGGTATGTGTGTGTGCGTGTGTGACACTGGTGATGGTAACTGAGACTGTGGGATTCCCCAACTCACCTTGCATTTCTCCTCCTCTAGAGGAGAACCCTGCCTGGCTGCCACTTTACGGTAGTGTGTGTTGCCGCCTGGCAGCTCAGCCTCTTTGTATGACTCAGCCCACTGCAAGTGGTACCCTCAGGGTGCAGGTGAGGGGGTCCCAATAAGTAGAAAGGACAGGGAGGAGGCAGAAGGGGGCTGGACCACCTAAGAACAGGGCTATTGGAAAATGAAGGCTTGGGTGGAAGGGGGTATGGCAAGATGAGGGGAGGAACAGACAGGAGGGTGGGCAAAGGGGCAGCTTGTCAAGGGGGCTGGGAGGAAGGGTGCTGGGGGTATGACTCCCCCAGGAAACACTGAGTCATTTATACAGCAAGCTGGGCAGCTACAAAATGGGGCACGAGTGCATGGAGTCCTGAAAGGCACAAACCTCTTCTGTTACCGGCGACGAGAGGACACAGACACTGGGGAAGAGCCGCTGTTAACTATTGCCATCAACAAGGTGATGGGGCCCCTGGTGGTGAGGTCACCAAGTACCTGGGCCCAGGTGCTGCTCCTTCAGGCCCCAGGAGGGTAGGCATAGACATCGGGGACAGGGAGGTGGCCTACTGCTCCTAATAGCATCACACACTTCGTCGGGGCCTGGGTTGCTGAGGATCATATTATCCCCACAATAGCATCACTGGAAACACCTCTGCCCCTGCCAAGTCTCAGAGAGGGTTTCACTGCCAGTTTAATACTTTTCATCCTCTTTCCCCTGTTCCTGATTCCAATATCTACCTCACACATTCTGTTTTTCTTTCCCAAGGTCTATTTGCTCTTCTTTGCTTCCTGGCCCTTTCCTGGCTTCCCTGCTTGTGCATTTCTTTTGTGGTGCTAGGGATCAGATCCAGGATCTTATGCATGCTAGACAAGCACTGTACCACTAAGCTATAACGCAATCCCCTCTTTACATCTTGGGAGTATGGAGGGGCCTTGGGCCTCAGTGCTCTTGCCTACTTGTGCCTTTCCTGCCTGGCTCAGCCCCTTTTTTCCTGCCTCAGTCTGCTCCTCCTTCCCTGAGTCAGCAGTGACTGTCTCATCCCCAGCCCTTTCTTGCTATTCCTTCCCACTCCATTTAGTAGGAGGTAAATGAGGGCTCAGCAAGGCCCACAGCACTTCCTCCTAAGGTGGGGCGGGCTCAGGCTGCCTATCACTGCTGAGTGCTATGATCAAGGTGGAGGTGGAAGCAGCACTCTTCTTTCTCCTGCAGGCAACTCGAGTCCGGGCAGGAGAGCTGGACCAGGCCCCAGGGCGGCCCTTCACCCTCAGCATCAGTAACCAGTATGGGGATGACGAGGTGATGCACACCCTTCAGACAGACAGCCAGGAAGCCCTGCAGAGCTGGAGGGAGGCTCTGTGGCAGCTCTTCTTTGACATGAGTAAGAGAGAGGAAGCTAGGTCAACCTTTGGGAAGGGACTGAGGTTTCTTATTTTTACCAAATGGAGTGTATGGAAGGGAATGTAGCAGGAGAAGGGGCCTGGCCCTCTCTTGCCATCAGTGCTCTTCCCACAGGCCAGTGGAAGCAGTGCTGTGATGAAATCATGAAAATTGAAACTCCTGCTCCCCGGAAACCGCCCCAAGCCATGGCCAAACAGGGCTCCTTGTACCATGAGATGGGTGAGTGAGAAAATGCACTCAGGGAACTTGATGGGAAATGGGGTTCTGGGTTTCAAGGGAACCCAGATACTGGAAACAGAGAGAAAGCACACTTTGTGCTAGGATACATTTCTGGGGACCCAAGGCTCACCCAGTCTTGCTGTATGCCTTTCTCCTCTCCAATTCTTTTTAGAACTACCTCCACCAAAGTTCAAAACAAAACTTCAAAAAACCAGATTCATTTCATGGGTTTCTATCCTAATTTCTTCTTTTCTGTTTTCCTTTCTGCATGCGGATTCCTGTCTCTTCTTCTGACCCCTTACTTGCCTGGCACGGCTTTCATTTTCTTTTCTTGGTTTCTTCACTCACTTCTGCTCCCCTTTCCCTCCTCACCCATCCTGTATCCCACAGACTTATCAGAGCCCATGGTCCCAGGAGGGCCCAGTGAGGGGCTGCTTCTGCAGGATAATGCAATCTCGGCTGAGATCCGGGCTTTGCTTTCTTATTACAGTGACAGGTGACAGTCAGGGCTGTGTAGGCCTGGGGCCTGAGCTCTGACCAGCCCCCTCCCCTCAACCCCTTCCTGGTGCAACAGCTATTGAGCCACTAGATGACATCGCAGCGGTGACAGACATCCTGGCTCAGCGAGAGGGCACAAGGCTGGAGACATCCCCACCCTGGCTAGCAATGTTTACAGATCAGCCTGCCCTGCCTAGCTCCTGCTTGCCTGCCTCAGTGGCCCCAGCCCCTGCCTGGACCCCCCCTCTGCCCTGGGGGCGACCCCGAACCTTTTCCCTGGATGCTGTCCCCCCAGACCACTCCCCTGGGGCTTCTTGCTCGGTTGCCCCCCTCCCCCCACATCAATCCTCAAGTTCTAGAGGCCTCTGCAGCAAAAGTCCTCTCCGTACTTGGCTCCAGTCACCAGTGTGAGGGACAAAGGCACTGGCAACAGGATGTGGCCAGAAAAGAAAATGATCCATGTGCAATCAGGCTCTGGATATGGCGCTATCTATAGCAAGTCGGCCAGCTTAGCCTCCTCTTCCTCTGCTGGACTGGGTAGGCTGGGGAAGCGGAACAGATGCCCTTCTTAAGTTGTGGTTACCATGGTACTGAGCAGTTTATTCCCAGAGCTAGCTGGGACTCCCCAAACACTTCCTGGGAGAAAACTGGAACCCTTCCTTACCTCCCTGCACTAACCAGCTTTGAAGATGGCACTGAAGAGCTCTGGGAGAGGGCACACCTCCCTTGTGACTCCTATATAAACCATTAAAGTTATTTAACAGCAGCCTTCACCTGGTTCTTTTTTTTTTTTTTTCGGTACTGGGAACTGAACCCTGGGCCTCATGCATGGTAGGCAAGTGCTCTACCCTGAGCTACATCCCCAGCCCTTTTAAAAGTTTATTTTGAGATGAATTACCCAGGATGGCTTCAAACTTGCAGTCATCCTGCCTCAGCTTTGGATAGCTGGGATTGCAGATGTGAGCCACTGTGTCTGGCTCTCATCTGGTTGAGGAATACAGGTTGTTTCTCTCTATGTGGCCTGGACCTGCCACACCCTCTTCCCAGGAACTTACTTCGCCACCTTTATGAAGTATGACTATGATACTGAGTAATCAGACAAGGACTGGGTGGAGGAGATACTTTATAAATACCACAGGGAGGAGAACAGCGGCTCTTCACTCACACACTGCCAAATCTCAGGATCTCAGTGAGGTCATACCCTGTCACAGCAAAGGAGCTGCCTGAGGGATCACAGAACTGAGCACCACACACCTGGGTGTCAGATACACACTCACTATGACAATGTTCCACCTGGTAGAGAAGAGGGCTGGTCAGGGCCTGTTGCCCCACACTTGGGCCCCTGTTCCACCCCTCCCACAATTCGCACCTCAATGCAGCCATTCTGTGGGCTTCTGCTCAGCTTCCAGATGTGTACAAAAGTGTCTTCAGCTGCAGAGAGGAGCTATAAAAAACAAAAAAACAAAACCATGAACAAGGAGTGAGTCAGAATACCCTGATGGGACAGGTGTGGGCTGGAATGCCCAGTCCTAGTGCCTTGGGAAAGAGACTACGCCAAGTAGCCTGTGGCATTTCTCTCAACATCCCAGCACTAGGAAACAGGGTAAGCAGGGATGCATGAGACTGACCTTGCCCACCTCAGGAGCTAGGTTCAATGCACAGATGGCCCTGGCATGGGCATTGATCTGGATGTTCAAAGTTCCTGTAGTGGCCTCATATAGATGCACCTGTCCATTCCCATAGCCTGCTGCTACAATCCCCTGCCACAGCTGCACAGAGGAGCATGGGACCCTGCAAAGGTGACATTCAACTTTGATTTTTCTAGATCCAAGTCTACATTCCACCTTGAAGCTACCTCAGGAAGGCCACAGTCCCCTTTTGCCTCACCTACCCAAATCCTGGAATACGGGTCAGTAATGTGAATTCCGGTCCTGACCTCCAGACACACAGTGAGCCAGAGTCATCTGCTGTCACCATGTCAGCCACACCATCCTGAGGGGAAAGATGGGATCAGTTCTTCCCTTTCTCCCCTGCTGTGATCCTGAGCACAGGGTATGAGATAAAGGGAGGTCATATTTGTATCTGTGCCTCTCTGGGGTAAGGGCAAGATGTGAGGCCCTCATTGGCTGGATCCATCAGTAGCCCTCCCCAGGGTTCCCTCAAGAAGCATGGACCGCTTTCCTTGCACTTCCTTACAGAGTCTGACAACCAACCATGCTCTCCTCTCCCATCCTGTATTAAAAGGGGGTACATAATATCCTTATTGGATTGATGAAACTGAGGCCACAGTGCCAGGACTTTCTGGAGGTCTTGCAGTGACCCAGTCACAATCAAGACTAGACTCTGGGCCTCCTGACTTGCCAAAATGAATCCTTCCCTGTGCCAGGGACGTCCACTTACCTGTCCTTGGGCAGGCTCAGTGGCAATATCTGTGATTGGTGTCTGGTGTCCTGCCAGCTCCTCACTCAGCACAATGTTGGGACCCTTGGCTGGGATGTCAAACACCAGCACTCGGCCTGACCACGTTCCTGTAGCCAGAACCAGTGCCCTGATCTTCTGGGTCTCAGCCACCAATCTTAGCACTCCCTCCATCCCAGAAACTTTAATAGCAAACCCATGCCCCAATCCTTCATTCACTACCTTCATCCTATCCCATCCTGCCTCTCTGACCCTTCTGTATCTTTTCGGAGTCTCAGATATCGATTTGCTCCCACTCTTGCCTCAAACCCTGCACAATTTCCTCTGGTCCTCAGTATCCTCCTGGCTAAAGCCCACATCCCCACACACCGTACCCCTTAATGCCCTGTCCTTGGCCCCCTCACCCACACAGATGAAGTGGCCACTGGCAGCAATTCCTCGGGCAAACACAGCCTGTACTGAGTATGAAAAGGGAAAACTATCAGATATAGCACTTCTCCCAACCCTAGGTAACACTCCCTACCCTTATGCCCATTTGGTCCTGCCAGTACCTGAAGGGGCATCTCCAGAGTCTAGTGCATGCCAATAGACCATGATGGAGCCATCAGACTCATACATCTGGAAGACAGAAGCAAGGATGGGGCATGATCCAGCTGACTTTTGTTGAGCTCTGTGCTGAGTACTTTACATATCCATGTTAGCCTTAACCCATTTAATACTCAAAACCACACTTGGAGGTAGGCACCATTCCCCCTGCCCAAGTACTGGGAATTGAACCTAGAGCTTTGTGTATGCTAGGCAAATGCTCTACCACTAAGCCACTTTCCCAATTCTTTTTATTTTGAGACAAGGTCTTGCTAGGTTGCCCAGACTGACCTGGAATTGCCTCAGCTTCCCAAGTAATTGGGATTCCAGATGAATGCCACCATGCCCAGCTGTAGGTACTGTTTTTATTCTGTTTTTCAGATGAGGACTCCAGGCCTCTGCCCAAGGTCATACAGCTATTTTTTTTCTTTTTTTAAAGGTCATACAGCTATTAAAGGGGCAGATGTTGGAGATGGCACTTGGGGACTGGAGAAGATGGAAGAAGATGAAAAATGGAGAGTGGGCTATTCATGTGAAAAGGTTGGAAGTATTAAAAGCCAAATAGGGAAAGGTCTGGGGGCCTTGCAGTGGAGTTGGGAAGATTACTGGGGGATGTCAGCAGGTTCTTCTTACCTGTATCCCTCGATGCGAAGTGAGTACCAGCAGTACTCGGAAGGGGAGGACGCACCAGTGGACCTGAAAGGAGGTGGTTCAGAGGAGGGAGGAAAATTAAGAGTAAAGCTATGAGGCGTAAGAAAAGTAGAAATTCTGAGGGTCAGGGAGTGCCTATTCCTTGATATTTGAAGGGCGGGGGAGGGCTGAGTTCAGTAACACTGCTCCCAACACCATGCCTCACCTGAGTGATATGTGGGGCGCTCACTCCAGCTCCCTCTTTAACGTGGAGTTGGCGCTGGGCTAAGGGCACACCGTCAGGGGCAGCACTGAGAACCTGGGCGCTTGGTCCATGAACTACCCCAAAAAGGGTGAGGTTGCGGGCAGGCAGCTGTAGCACACTGAGATTGTTGCACAGAGCGGCGGCAGAGCCTTGAAGGGGGATGGAACGCTCCCGGCGGAACATCCTGTGGGAGGGACACCCGAATCACCGCGCGGGAAAAAGATCACAGTGGAGACTGGGGAGGGCGGACAATTATGAGGCAGAGGGAGACCTCTGAGACTAGGTAATGACATGAGGTGTCCGGAGAATAGTGATAAGGGAGGGTCGTCGGGTGGCGGGAGGGTCTCCTGGAGCATAGAAGGGGAGTCCCCGGGGTGAGTCACTGGGAGATGGGGAAATCCCAGAGGAGGAATGGTGATGGCACAGGACCCGGTGGCTCCAGGTGCTCGAGCCCAAAAGGCAGGACGAGGCTCCCAGGCACTTCCCCCTTCAGCTCGGCTCCCTGAAGCACTGTGCCTGAGTCTAAATTCACACCCTCTGCCCCAGATCCCCTTGCCTGATTCCAGGATCCTTCGGCCCCTCCGAATCCGCCGCCACCATAGAGACGACGCACACACGCACGCCGCTGGGCGGGGCGAGCGGCCGGAGCTTACTGCGTGCTGCCCGGTTGCTGGGGTAACTGTGGGGGGGCAGGTTGCCGAGACGACCGTTAGGCGGCCTCAGGCAACTACCTCTACACTGGGTGTGCGCCCAGGAGACAGTTGAGACACTCGCGTCGGAGCTATAGCGGCAGCAATGGCGCAGGAAAGCTCGGCGGGCTTGAGCTCAACTAGGGGTGCACCAGACCTGGGGTCGGCCGGTAAGGTCGGTGTCGCGAACAGTGGGCCAGTTCTATGGCGCCCGGGTGTTCAGGATGACTTAAAGAAGCCAAGTCGGTGCTTGGGCAGGAAGCCTACATCTTCACGGTGCCCACTCACGCTTTGTCACACTCGGGCCCTGAGGGAAAAAAATCAGTTGAGGTTGTAGAGCCCCAGAACAGGGGAATTTCGAAACAGCTAGTACATGCGATAAGTTTCTTACAAGTGGTACCCATTTCAGCGGATAAACCAGAATTGGTCGAGTATTTAGGGAGAGGTGTTGATCCATAAATCATCTTTTTGCAGAATTTCTCTGGAGGAAGAAAATGGATTAAACAACAACGCCGAAGCTACACCTGAAAGTCCAATTGTTTAAAAGCCAAGATATTTTAAAATAAAGAACACAGGCGGGTAGGTGGCACAGGCCTGTAATCCCAGCACTCGGAAGGCAGAAGCAGGGGGATCACTGTGAGTTCGAAGCCAGCCTGGGCTACATAGTGCGTTCAAGGCCAACCTGAGCTACATAGTGAGACCCTGTCTCAAAAAAAGAAGAAGAAGGAGGAGGAGGAGGAGGAGGAGGAGGAGGAAGAAGAAGAGAAAGAAGAGAAGAAGAGGAAGAGGAAGAGGAAGAGGAAGAGGAGGAGGAGGAAGAAAAGAAGAGAAAGAAAACAAATTTGAAGGGCCTTTGTGCAAAAAGATTATCCCCTTTGGTCAGGCCACATCTAGACATGGTCACCATCAGGGATGTCAGATGAGAGGCTGGGAGGAGTCGTCTATTCCCACCTTATCTGTCCTTCTCCAGCCAAGCCAGGCCAGAGCTGTGGGCCCCATCCCGGGCTTGGTACAGGGCTGACTGCTCTTGGTGGTGGAAAGGGGGAAATAAAGCATAAGGAATTTTGAGTTCAGTGCAAGGGTTAAAAAACACCAGATTTGAGGAGAGAATGAATTTTAGGGAATGTTACATATGAGGCAATAAAGTTGGGGAGCAGTACATAAAGATTTGGGAATATTGCCTTTGGAGACAAATTTTGGAAGGAACCAGGTTCAGGGAGACTGTTGTGGGGAGGTAAGTAAGCTTTCAACTGTTAGTAAATTACCATGACCCTAAAGTGAGTTTGGGGCCTAGACTTTTTATAGTGGATTTTTCTTTATTATTATTATTATTTTGGTTTTGTCAAGACAGAGTCTCAATATGTATATAGTTCAGGTTGACCTTGAACTCACTATGTAACTAACATAAGCTGGCCTGGAACTTGCAGCAGTCCTCCTGCCTCAGCCTCCCAGTGCTGGGATTACAGGTGTTTGCCACCACACCAGCTTTTCTTGATTTTTTTTCTTGATTTTTAAAAGGATACAAATTCATTGTTGTGAACTTATAAAATGGAGAAAAGAATAGGAAAGAAATATACCTTCTGTAATCATTTTGATGTTTTCTAATATATATTGGTCTATATAATTCATATTATAATTAATGTGCAATTTTGTATCTTGTTCGTTTCACTTAACATTCAAATCATGAGCATTTTCATATGCTATTGGAAATTCTTCCTAAAGGCTACTTTAATCATTACATAATATTCATTATAGAGATACAGCATAATTAACCATCTACTGTTTCTTTGACAAGGATTCAATATTCTGCTATTATAAATAACACCACAGCTAATATATTGGAATATATATTTTTCAATTTTTATATTTTATTAGCACATGTTTGCAGTATACAATGATTACATTACATTTGTGATGGGGAGTGGGTACATGTACATAACACGTGGTTTTTTCTTTTGGGTACCGGGGATCGAACTCAGGACCTTGCCTTGGGAGGCAGGGCCAGAACCACTGAGCTAAATCCCCGGCCCTACATAACACATCTTAATTCTTTTTCATCCATTTCCTCACCCCTCCCCTCACACTCCCTCCATCTCTTGGTGCCCTACCCACTTGCAAAAGTTCTATCTCCCTATTTCTTATTATCTTTAATTTGCTCTTTATTTATATTTTGGCTTCCTCATATGTGAGGAACCATGTGATATTTAAGCTTCTGTGTCTGATTTATTTCACTTAACATTATGGTCTTAGGGTGTATACATTTTCCTACAAATGACTCAAACTTGTACTTCTTTATGGCAGAGTAGTATTCCATTATATACAAATGCCATATTTTCTTTATCCATTTGTTGATGGACATATAGGCCACTTCCAAGATTTAGCTATCATGAACTGTACTGTTATAAATATGGGTATGCATGTATCTCTGTAATATGATGTCTTAACTCTTTTGGTTAAAAGTGTCTTCTAGGGCTGGGGATTTAGCTCAGTGTTTTCGCTGCCTGCTGTGCAAGCTCAAGGACCTGAGTTCGATCCCGGGTACCAAAAAAAAAAAAGAGTGTCTTCTAGATACCTAGAAGGGAAATAGCTGGGTCAAATGAAATTTCTATTTTTAGCTTTTTGAGGAATCTCAATATTGGAATATTGACTATATACCTCACCAAAACATAAGTATTCTTATTTTGAAAATAATTTCTACTTTGATGACCTAAAAATCAGAATATAAATTAAGTTTGTATATTTTGATATTTTTAAAAGGTTGGATATCTTTTCAAATATTTATTAGTCATCTATATTTTCTCTTTTGTGAAATATTATGCTCTTTGCTTATCTTTGGGGGTCTTACATTATTTTATTTTATGAGGTTTAGTGTTGTTTTACTACTTTGAGATAAGGTCTCACTATGTAGACCAGGTTCACCTTGAACTCACTATGTAGCTCAGACTGGGACTCTCTCAACTGATCCTCCTGTCTCAGCCTCCTAGTGGATTTTGGGTGTGCACCTCCATGCCCAGCTCTTTTGAACTTTTAATATATTTGCAAATATTTATCCTTTTTATGTTTGTTGAAAATGTTTTTGTTTCGCAGGCAGGATAAAGTCAGACTACAGATTTAGGCACATTTGCATGTGAATTTGGACTATACTACTTCCTAGTTGTGTGATCCTGGGCAAACTACATAAAATGGGGATTTAAAATACATGGGTAGCTTTGTGCAGTGGCAGTATCGTAGCCAATGAGGTTTATCCGAGGAGTGATTATTGCTAATTGAAAATACATAGGTAAACCAGGGATTTAGCTCAGTGGTTCTGCTGCCTGCCTTGCGTGCACAAGGTCCTGAGTTCTACCCCCGGTACCAAAAAAAAAGAGTAAAATACATAGGTAATAAATGTAAAAGAGATAAAATAGCACCAATACTTACAGTGTGCTTATTGATTCTTTATTCTCAAGTTCTTTGAACTCAAGAACTTTGGAGACTTTGCACTGTTGTAAATAGCAAGGGGCCATGGAGTTAGAGATTCATACCCTAAGTTCTGTCAAGCTTCAGTTTCTTTGTAGAGCAGACTCAGAGGGCTGTTAGGAAAATTGAAGTACTTACATCAAATACTTAAAAAGCATCAGTCATATTATAGCCTCTTAGTAATTGTGTCCCTGGCCGTTTTCCTTCCTAGTAAACAACTTGAGAAAGCTTCCTTCTAGCTTCTAGATGCTCTTCGGGTCCGCTCCTCGGTTTCCTGCCCTGAGAGCCCTGTTTCATTTCCATAGAGGCAGGAGAGGCAGGCTCGAGACCGCGGCACGACCCGATCCAAGGTGGAAAAGGCGCGTCCGCCCACCGTGCCGGTGCCGCACGTGGATATCGTTCCTGGGCGGCTCAGTGAGGCGGAGTGGATCGCGCTTCTGGCACTGGAGGAGGGCGAGGACGTGGTGGGAGACATCTTGGCCGACCTATTAGCTCGAGTCATGGACTCTGCCTTCCAAGTCTACCTGACCCAGCAGGTGGGCCTGGACCTGGGTTTTCCAGACCCTTGTGCTCCCTCTGGCTCCTCCTCTCCAGGCTGAGACCCTCCCTCACTTCCGCAGTGCATTCCATTCACTGTCAGCCAGGCCAAGGAGGCCATGCTGCAGATCGTTGAGTGGCGCTTCTTGGCCCGGGATGAGGGAGACGCTGCAGTGGCCGAGGACCCCACGTGGGGCGAGGACAAGGAGCCGCTGGCGTGCGTGACCGACACCTGGGCTCAGGGCTCGGTGCCCGTGGTGCACGCGCCGGCCTGCGAGAGTCTGGAGGACTTTGAAGACGAAGACGAAGACAAAGACGAAGTAAGTCCAGCCTTCAGCCTCCTTCTGACCTGAACCTCGCCCTGTCTTCAACTGAGGTCTCGGGGACTCCTCCACCTGACTTCTCTCCCTTTCCATCTCTCATTCCCCTGTACATTTCCCCCAGGACCCTGGGAGCCGGGGCAGGATCCTTTTAGGAAGATCGTGGTTGGCTAGAGGCTCCCAGGAGCGTTTTCCGGAGCTGAGAGTCACCCCCGGCCCTCCGGCCACACCCGAGCTGTTTCAGAAGGCAGGGGCTGGAGGAGCTTTGCAGGAACCTGACGGCCAGGCTAGAAGCCTCTTCTTGGCCGGGTCCTTGAATGAGAATTTGCAACGTTCGGGGGAGGCGGAGGGGATCCAGAGTCCCCACCCTTCCCTGGAGCTGTCCCAGGTAGCCAGCCCTCTGGCTTCTGCCGTGAGGGGACAGCCCCTGGGCTCCTGCTTGTCACCCAAGGACCTCTACCCCCAGCCAGACGCAGCTGGGGACCGGCTGCTGAACGTGACAGAGGGGATGTCTTGCATGGCCTCGGGCGTGTCCTGCCTCTCTCGGGGCGGCCCCCCCTCGCTCAGCCCCTCTGCGTCCCTGCAGTCGTACCAGCCCGGACGCTTGGGTGAGCCTCACTACCGGGCAGGCTGCAAGGCTACAACGGCGCACCTGGACCCTGAGCAGCTTCCCCGACACTGGGTGCGCCCCCTGGCAGAGACTGTGATCCCAGACTCTGACGCTTGCCCCTTGGAAACCTACCTCCTAGACTCTGACGCTCGCCCCTTGGAAACCTACCTCGGGCGCCGGAGGCACTGCAAGACCAAGACCAGAGCCAGACCACAAGGCCCTGTGTCGGGCGACCGTGTCTCCCCAGCAGCTTTCTTCCCTTTCCAGCCTAAGGGTCCCTGTGCTTTGGGCCCAGACGCCGCTTTAAATTTAGCCCCACTCTTGCCATCCTCCAGGGCAAAGGTGCCATTCCCCAGCCATGGGGCCCACTTCCTCCCCAAGCACCCAGTGCTAGCTGAAGTTCCTCGAAGCCCTAGTCCTAAATCGTGGCCCAATACCAAGTGGCCCCGTGGCTGGGAGGGCAGGGCGGAGCTGCTGGGCAAACTGTGGGCTGGCCGGACCCGGGTGCCTCCACAGGGCTTGGAGCCTGCTGACAAGGAAGACCAGGATTTTGGATGGCCCCAAATAGCACCCCGGATCCTCGAGGCTTCATCCCAGGTGCTCTGGAAGCCCGTGGTGCGCCCAGAAGTCGTGAGGGTGGCTCCTGGTGTGAGCATGTGGACCCGGAGCACCCAAGTACTTCTCAGCTCTGCTGTGCCCCAGGAGGCCAAAGAAGGAGGTACCTTTTCTTCAATTGACCAGCATGCCATCCAGACAGGTGTGCCCAAGCCCCAGGTGACTGGGGGAGAGCTAATAAAGGCTACCCCCAAAGTATGGCTGCTCCCCTCCAAGCCCATGCCCCAATCTAATTCCTGAGCTTTGGAATCCTGGAGGTGGGAACTGAACCTTCCCCCTGCCTATGGAAAATAAATGCTGAGTCCCTTAGGAATTGAAGTTTCTTGTCAGTTTCTTCCAAGGGTGTCCATTCTCTCACTGAACCCCAAGCAAAGCAGTTGTCCAGGGCTGGAAGAAGGTTGAGTAATGGCTGCAGCAGACAACCCAAAGGCTTAGGGGACCCTGCTTTAGGGCCAAGGCTATTTCCCAGGAGGGGCATTATAGATACCCCCACCCCTGAAAAGGAGCAGAGAGAGGGCTGCATTGAGATCTGGCTCAGTACGGAGAGCTTTCTCTCTTTAGATAGAGGAGGGACGGGATGGATCTTTATTTTTCTTTTCTTTTTGGGGGTGGGGGGTACCAGGGATTGAATTCAGGACCTTGTGCTTGTGCACCAGGTGAGGTGCCATTGAGCTAAATCCCTAGCCCTGGATCTTCTTAAGTACAGAATGATTCCTGAGAAACTTGACTTGCTTCCCTGGTTCCTGGAGTTTAAATCAGTTCACATCATCCAGGTTTTACTTCTGGAGACAAGTTTGGCCTATGCAGGGCTCAAAAAAGCTCTGACCCTCTTGATCACTGGCTTTTGTGGCAAGAACTAGGGTGAGGTAATCATATGCCCAGGGTATAAAATTTGGGGAACTCACTCTCAGGTTCAAACTGTGGGCTTAAACAAATGCAAGAGTGAGTGCCTTCTTAAAGTTTGTCTTAGGCTCCACACCTGCCTCTTTGGTAGTCCCCACTCTGCATCACCTTGCCCCTCCTTTCACCCACTTGAACATCCCAGTGGCAGGCTGGCAGGCTGGCAGTCTGTGCTGTGTTGTGGGCTCCATTCAGCACCCTGGTCTGTGGTCCTGGCTCTCCTCCTTATTCTGGTTCACTTGCTTGAACAACATGGGCAGCTCTAGTGGAATCTCATCCTTGAGACCTCTACTGCAGCTACAGATGTAATCTGGGAAGACAGCATAAGCATTGGGCCCAACAGTGTTCCTCCCACCTGTCGCTGCTGGGGGCCTCTGCCCCCAACAGGGAGGGAAGACAGGAGGTCAGCATCCACTGTCAGCACCTTTGTCCTTTCTCTTCTATTGTGCTCTAGTCACCACCCAGATCAGCCTACTCTGAAGCTGTTCTCCCTCAGGTATTGGGAAGATTATGTCCTAGGAGCTGGCCTAACACGAGACCCATACAATTCTCACCTCTAAGAACTGGCAGCATGGGCCGGGGATTTAGCTCAGTGGTTCTGGTGCCTGCCTCACAAGTGCAAGGTCCCAAGTTCAATCCCCAGTACTAAAGAACTGGCAGCATGAATATGAACTGACCTAGACTGAAGCAGCCTTAAGCAGTGCCTGCTTGCTGCTTGGTGAGGTGAACTTAGCTCTGCGACCTCCCTTTACATCTTTGGTCAGCAGCATCTATAGGAAGATCCTGAGATATACCTGCTAGTAAACAAGACTGGAGTGCACTATATACTTGGATTTGCTTCCTTACACACTTTCGAGTGCAAAGACCCCAAAACAGGAATTGTCAAAACTTAACCTGTGCATCCTGCTGAAATACTCTAATCCATATACTCCCCTAAAATTGCTTAGGTTATAACCTCAAACTCACTGACCCATCTTTGCATATATATATATATATATATATATATATGTACTCCTGTGGTATTTCTTCTGAACCCCAACATATCCTTCAGACCTTGTTTCCCTTAAAGTAACCCCTCTATCACCCACCACTTACGTTCTCATCTCCTCTCAGGATACCCTAAGACACTTATCCCAGAGGGCCTCGCTTTCACCTTGGCCACTATGTTGGGCCTTTTCTGCTTTCAATTCCGCTCTAAGGTAAGGAAGGATGGATGCTCACCTTTTGTGCTGCCTCCTTTTCCCTGTACCCTGGTCAGTTACTGATTCCCATGGCTACCTCCAGCCTCTTTGCACCCAGATGCTTGCCAAGGGCTAACCAGACACCACACTCTTTCTCTTCCTTCCTTCCTTCCTTCCTTCCTTCCTTCCTTCCTTCCTTCCTTCCTTCCTCTCTCTCTCTTTTTCTTTCTTTCTTTTTTTCTCTTTCTTTCCTTCTTCCTCTCTCTCTCTTTGTCTTTTTCTTCTCCTCCTCCTCCTCCTCCTTTTTCTTTTTCTTTTTTTTGTGAACCCAGGGCCTTCATACCAAGCTGTATCCCCAGTCCTTTTTATTTTTTTTTATTTTGAGACAAGGTCTTGCTAAATTGCCCAGGCTGGGCTTAAACTTGTGATCCTCAGCTTTCAAAAGTACTGGCATTAAAGGAGTGTGTCATCATGCTCCCAATACACTTGGTGTCACATAGCAGGGGGACCCAGTAGTACAAGGCAGAGTTAGGAAGTTGACAGAATTACTGCTTGGTGGCAGAATTATTCAGCCCTAAATATTACTGCCAAGGGGATATGAGATCCCATCTTTCCTTTACACATTTGTTAGTTCTAGCCAGACCAATAGACAGTCACTGCTGCAAAATCTTGAGGGGGACATTAGGTACAAGAAATAGTTGCTGGGGGCCAGGGATTTAGCTCAGTGGCATCGAGTCTGCCTCGCAAGGACCTAAGTTTGATCCCTAGTACCAAAGGAAAGAAAAGAAAAGAAAAGAAAAGAAAAGAAAAGAAAAGAAACAGCTGCTGGGAGTGGTGGTGCATGCCTATAGTCTCAGCACTCAGGAAGCTGAGGGAGGAGGATCACTGCAAGTTTGAGGCCAGTCTGGGCTACATAATGAGTTCAAGGCTTGCCTGAAGTACATAGCTAGACCCTGTCTCAAAACAAAACAAAACAACAACAACAAAAGAAACAGAGAAAAGAACACTGATTTTTTGCTCTCAGAGAACTCAGAGCCTGAAAAGTTGGCTAGCCCAGCCTTGCACACAACATGATATAACTTTTAGTTCACATAATATAGCAGCTAGGAATCCTTGTTAATCTCTAAAGGCTGAAGCTTTAGTGTGGAAGATGATAAGAAACCTGAGTGGGTTGGTCCCGTAGGGAAAAGAACCCCAACACCCATGACTGAAATAAGTGGATGAGGCCTTGAGGAAACCTCTCTGGCCTTGCTGATTTTGACAGCTACCAAAGCACCACAAGCAAGCTGTAATTAGAACTGAGCTGCCAAGAAGTTCAGACTTTCCTTTCTCTTGATGAATTAAAGGAAATGGCTATAAGGGAAAATGGAAAGAAGCTGGGAGATGCTGGAAGTTGAGGGTACAAGTCTGAGTGAAGGAGGGAAGAAAGATTGGGAGCATCTTACAGTGGGGTTCTTTCCCCATTTTAAACTCCCTCTTATTTTGCAAGTATACATTCTGTTTCTGTTCTTTCATGGTTACTCAGTATTTTTTAGGAGAATTTTTAACTTGCACATTTAATTTAACATCTTAATATCTTTATTTTTCTTTTAAACTATGCATAGATCTTAGAGTTCTTTGACAATCATACTCTGAATTTACTTTTTTTTGTAAACCAATAATTTATATCATTATTTTGTTACTCTTACCTATCAGGTATACTATTAAATGGTCAATAATTGGGTAGATTTGTTGCTATGATTAATATTAATAGTTAATATTTCTTATTCTTCTTCCTGTGTCTCAGATCTTCCATCCTGAGTTATTTTTCTTCCACTGAGGTACATCTTTTAGGAGTTCCTTTAGTGAGGACTTGTAGTAGACAGAATTCTAAAAGACCCCAGGATTGTATCTCTTTTGTATACATTCTGTAAAATCCCCTCCCCCTTAAGTGTGAGCAGAATTTACAAATACATAGGAAACGCCCATGATTATGTTAGGTAACTGACAAAGAGATTTTACTGATGTAATTTAGGTCTCAAATTGGTTGATTTTTGAGTTTGTCAAAGGGGAGGTTATTTGGGTGGGCCTTAACTAATGAGAGGAGTTCAGCCTTTCCAGAAGTTAGAGAGATCCTCTTGTTTACTATGAAAAAGCAAACTGTCACATCATGGAGAGAGCCATGTGGCAGGAAGATCACATAGCATCTAGTTGCTGAAGCCTCAGTTCCACATTCACATGGGACTGGATTCTGCTAGTAACCAGTGAATAAGGAAGAAGACTCCAAGCCTCAGGTGAGAGTGTGGTCCTGGATGTCATCTTCTTCTTTTTTTTTTTTTTTGTCACCTTTTTTTTTCAGATTGATGAATGAAAACTTTATTTTTTTACACATAAAGGTTGATGAAAAACCATTAGTTTCCTATTAAAGAAAACCCACCATTTTAATTAACAAAAATAGTATCTGAATTTACTCATTAAACATTATTTACATTTTCTAAAACACAACTTGAAAACATCCAGCATGCTTAATCTCAGTACAAAGGATTCAAGACCAAGTATACACATTACATGCATCAAGGCAGATTACAAATTGTCATAATCATCACCAGCACTGTCATTATCAGCATCCTCACACTTTCTTTTCCACACATTTGATGACTCACTGGCAGTATTTTGTGATGATACCATGTTAGAGGTAATAAGATTGTTTTTGGACCCAATTAATGATGGATTAATCAGAACACTCTGAACTGCTGAAGTTGCAGGAATGGAGACTTTTGCAGCAGAGGCCTAGGAGCCATCTGCACCATAAACTTCTGTTCAGTGAGGGACACTGGAGCTCCCACTTTAGCTGAAACAGACATGGCCTGTGGGGTTGGTGTCCCTAGCGGTTTCTCCTCTTTTCTCTCTTTTCTCCCCTTTCTTCTTTCTTTTCTTTCTTTTGAATTTGGATAATTAATTGTCCTAGTACCATTTGTTGAATAGTTTGTTTCCCCCACTGACCAACAATGTAAAATTTGTCATATATCAAATTTTCGTAAATTTGCTTGTTTTAGGTCTAGATTCTTCTCTGCTGCTGCATTAAAAAAAATCACATCAATATCATATTGCCTTAATTACTATGACTTTAAAATAAGCACAACTTTCCACCCCCATCAGCTTCCCCACACCCAGGAGTTTCTTGGCTGTTTTTGCTCTTCTCTAAAAACTAATTTATCAAGTTCTGAATGTGCATTTTTAAAGCTATTTTTAA